GCTGTTCTTGCGTTCCTTGCCATTGGATGCAACCATGATAAAGTAAGAATGTTTGGACTGATTTATAATTTCATGTCAGCAGTAGTAGATGCGTAGTAGCTCCCACCGACAATCTTGCATTTGTTCTTTGCATAAAGAAATTTTACGTCAAAAACCCTTGAGATGATAGTAGGGTATAAAAATGTTTAGAAGTTTTACAATTAAAAACAAACAATGTTAAAAACGTTGACTTCGTAGCTAAATGCAGCTGCATTAGGTTTACATGAAGTACACATTTATAAATTCACCCATTTACAAATTTATAAATTCAGAGCATATGATTATTAAGATACTTGAAGGTTTGCCTCAGGTAAGGACCAGAGCTTTCCCGATAAGCAAGTTGCAGTAAATATAATTCAATCTGCCGTATTTACGTACTTTGTACTCCTTATTCTACACGTATATGGAGACTGGGGGAACCGAGAAAACTGAGACGCGCCAAAAAAGAAATTTCTCGTTTACTTTTATATAGATAAAATATAAGTTGAAAAACAAGATTTATTAATGATACATAATGTCTTAGTCATACATAAAGATTGAAATGAAATAACAAGTAAATAGCATGAAATATTTTGTTAAAAGAATGTGCTAACAGTATCTTTTTCTCACTTCACAGACTTTAAAACGAAAGGAGATCAGACAACATATGAATGACACTCCAATTAATCACGTGAGCCTCTTGTTACGATACGTTATGGCATTTGTTATACAGCTTGGTAACTTTTTACTACGTCTAGAGTTTACCACTCCATTGCGAAGACTTGTTGAGCAAGTCACTGTTGTTCGTGCATATTACTTTGAAAAATTTGTGATGTTAGATTGCAAAATTATAGGTCTGGAAAGAAGAATTGAGTGTCTCGAGGGTCGTGGTGGTAGCAATAGTTATAACACCCAGTTGTCCCCAGAGGTTTCCTTGTTGCGTGAAAGAATTGCAACACTTGAGCGACAAGCCAGAGACGATTTTTCCACTATACAACGGTTTCGTGAGCGTTTAGATCAAAAAGACGAATCAATAGGGAGAAACATGGTGAACATTACGAACCTTGAAGCACAACGTGAAGAGCGCGCACTGCGATCAAATCATTCACAGCTATAATGGTACGTTACTTTGGAGAATGGACAACTTCAATCTAAAGCGATAGGACGCCATTAATGGTGTTAAGAATGCCTGGTACAGTCCACCATTTTACAGTTCTCAATATGGTTACAAGATGTGTGCTAAGATCTATATGAATGGTGATAGTCGGGGAAATGGAACTCATTTATCTTTGTTCTTTGTTATCATGAAAGGCAAAGCTATTTTTAACAGTTTCTACTTAAGCTGCCTCAAAAATTGGAAATGGATTTTTGTAGGTATAAAATCGGCTGTCCAAGAATGTTTGGTAGCATGCAGATGATCGCAAAAATTGCGTTAAAATTGAGATCATGTAATTTGATTTCTCTAGAGGCATAATATCTAAGATTACAAAATACGTCATGTGACTCGCTGTGCTTTTTGGAATAGATAGGATTAGAAGTTAGATGCAAGTTGGAACAAGTTGTTGAATAATGTAGAACATAGTATTAAGAGTATAAAGCCAAAAATTTTTATTTTCAATTCACCAAAAAAGCAGACTAAAGCTTACAATTGTTTGTGAGATGCGATACTTTTTAGTTTTTTTGATCATGTACGAAAATAAATGGCGATAGAAGGGAAAAGTATGCCTTGGGGTTTATTAAGACTTATATCATATTATAAAACTTTATATTTTGTATGATATTATTTCTTGCTGATTACGATGCTCTACAAACATGGTCATTTCAAAAGATGATCACAATGATGTTAATGGGTCAAGGAAATGGTGATCACATGATTAATGCTTTTCATTCAGATCCTCAAAGTTCCTTATTTCAGCGACCAGAGTCTGAATTGAATCCATTTGGACTGCCGCTTCTAATTTCGTCGATAGAGAGTTTAAGCAATCTTCCGTTCATTAAAGAGAATACAATGTTTATTAAGTTAATAATTGAGTGAACAAAGAATCTAAATACACTCGCTCCTGCTTCTCTACCTTAAACACTGAAAATATCTCAATTCTCTATCAATCTTAAATTAGCTTTATACTTAGGCAAACGCAACCCGACCTAAACATGTTGCAAACAACTCTTCTAGTTCTTTCACGTAATTTTCAGTTGTCTATACAAAACGCTATTTGTTGTAAAGCACTAAATAGTGTTTATATAAATATTTTTTGTTTTCTTCTGGTCAGCATATCCTCATTAAAGGAATATACAACAGTAGGGTCACTTCGCTGTGCAATTGGCTGCTGTATATTTAACTAGTTTACTGGCTGCTCTTTGCCATATCGTCAATCCTTTTGGTCACAAAATGCAATTTACTGGCTGCCAATATGGTAATCACTTGCGTAATAAGATATGCGTGGCACAAAAAAACTCAATGGAGTGGCTCTGCTCTATGTTCTCTATACCGTGGCATTGTTATGAAGTATGTCCCCATGTTTACTTTGTAACACGGGCTCAAATGTTCGTTTGGTCATATCATATCTACAGTTTTGTACTATTGTCATTTTATTTCATTATAATCGAATTTTTCTACATTTGAAGCGTTTTCTTTCTCAAATTATTTCATAGCACAAACAATATTTACAAAGAGTCATCTTACGTGTGTTGTACGTGTCTTATTTTATATTCACTCTTTATATAATTCATTAGCAATGAAGATGGTTTGAAAGAATTTAGACTATATTTTGATTAAATAACACCTCTTAAAATATTTTTGTGTTCACCTTAAAACCTGTGGTTGGGATAATGTGATCGAGTGATGTAAAAAGGAGGAAGCAATCATCGACATATCGTCTGTAGATAACAGGTTTGAATTTGTGGGGACAGTTTTTCATTAAGTTTTGTTCAGGGAAATACATGAATATGTTGGCAAAAAGAGGGCCAAAGGGACTTTCCATAGCATTACCATCAATTTGGTGATATAAGCGGTTGTTAAACATAAAGTGGCAATTTTTAACAGATAGCGTTAGTAGATTACTGAATTCGGTGCGGGTGAGTCCATGAAATTGTTTATGGTTAGTAAAAACAAGATCACAGATGACATTGATTGTTTCATGAAGGGGAATGTTGGAGAAAAGAGAAGTTACGTCAAAACTAGCCATAACAACTTTGTTAGAGTTTATGTTGGTGTTAAGTATTTCTTGTACGAAGGAGAATGAGTCCTTTATCATGAAAGAGTTTTAGAGAATGCTGTTCGGCGTCGTATGTGGGTCAAACCAAACGCAACTTACATACCAGAATCTCGGAACACTTTGGGATCTCTACTTCGACTAGAAAACGCTATACTAACCCATTAATGTCAAGTATTCTTTCTCATAGTAACTCCTTCAACCACCCTGCTTCGCCAGACGATTTTAAAATCATCTCATCCTGCTCCGACACATTCGAACACCCAAGGCAGCTCCATCCCTCTTAAGCTTTTCTAGTCTCAACACCTCACCCAAAAAATACATCCCATCACACTTACACATTCACAGTAATCTGATACCTCAAACTATGTAAATAGCTTGACATTATAACTTTTCATTTTTGAATTTTAATTACTTTTCTTACACTGAAACAATCATTACTGACTGATAATCACTTAATTGAAAACAAGGCATCTTAGGCCCCGTGCACATGTAACCGGATTCGTTCGTATCCGCAAATATTTTGTTGCGGTTACACTTATCGTCCACATGCATCTAGCGAAGACGCCAGTGCCTTTTTAAAGAATTTTTACTTGAAAGCGCGATTCTCTTACAAAAAATTTCCATTTTATTGTATAATTTATAGTAGTTAGCAACCGAAGTACTTGCCAAAGTAATGGTAGATCTGACGTTAGCGCATAAAAAATCTGGGACACTTTGCACCCCTGAGTTGGCCTTCTGTTCATTTCCTATTCTGTGCTTTAACGTTAGTCAGGTCCGTTTAACTTTGTAGAGATGAAATGTAAGTACTGTGTATTTACTGGCGAAGTAAGAAATTTATGGAAGAAATCAACAGGTCTGGTTATAATCTTTGTAATGTGAATGGTTTTACTATTCGCAAGTAAAGGGTTAAATTTAAAGTGGTAAATGTGTTCTGAAAGGACGGTCCATGATATCTGTACTGTAAGGGATAAATATGGAGGTTACACCATGAATGGATAATATAAAGTTATTAAAAGAACATTGTATAGCGTCATTTGTATGTGTGAAAATTTACATTGAGGTATAAAAAATGACTACATTCTATAAAGATGAAAAGTGGAGAATGAAAAAACATGATCCAGGTTTTATAGAACTTAAATGAGTTCATAGGTGTTAAATTTTGTTTAAAATAATATGAAGTTATTATGAAGGATCACGATGGTCTGTTTTTACAATTTGAGTACAAACAAAAGAAATGATCTTTAAACTAGGATATTGTGACCAAATCTTTCAATCTTTAGTTGTCAATATAAGAAACAACGTATTGACCTCATTCAACGCGCTTAAAGAAAAAAATCGTTAGAATCTTACGATTTCTTTTGTGTTTTAATATCGTTATGCAAAAGTACAATGCAGGATGTTGTAGGATAGGTTAGGTTTCATCAGACCTTAATGAATTAAAAAACTGGACTTTAATTTTGACCAAATCTTCATACAATCTTGCAGTCATATTCTTGATAAGTTAAGGTTGTAAGAATGGTTTAAGGGCGTTCAGATTGATTTCACCAACATCTTCTAGAACAAAATTATGATATTAGCGTTATTTAATAGGCTAAATATATTTAATTAATAAATAATTGAAGTAATATCACAGAAAAATGGTCACTTATTACTAGCATTTCATATATATTAATGTAGGGAGAGCATAGTTCTTTTGTTTGGCAACAATACGTTTTGTTTTTAAAAATTAGATTTCATAGTTATCCGGTAATTTGTAAAGTACAAACAATGAAAGGGCAGATAAAGAGGTTGTCGAATGAGCCAACATTGTTGAAGGAATATGATAATATTATAAAGGAACAGCTAGAAACGGGTGTTATAGAAAGGGTAGATGAGTCTGAACCTGAGATAAATGTTCATTACCTTCCCCATCAAGCCGTAATACGTAAAGAGGCCAAAACAACCAAATTGAGAATTGTTTATGACGCATCGTCAAAAGAGGGTAAGAGAGGGACTTCTTTGAATGACTGTCTTCATGTAGGACCACCACTAACGCCGTTGTTGTTTGACATATTAATCAGATTTAGGGAGAGCAGAGTGGCCTTGGCAGGAGACATAGAGAAAGCCTTTTTGAACGTAGAAGTAGACGAAGCAGACAGGAACTATTTGAGATTTTTGTGGGTGAGAGATGCGATTAATGGTAATTTAGAGGTTGTAGTGTATAGGTTTTGTAGAGTAGTGTTTGGACTAAATGCATCGCCCTTCCTGCTTAACGCTACGCTTAGACATCACATTGCGCAATTTGCAGAATCAGATCCAGTGCTTGCTCAGAAATTGAATGAGGGGTTTTACGTGGATGATCTAGTTTCGGGGGGCAAGAGCGCACAGGAAACAATCGAGTTGTACGAGAAAGCGAAATTTAGGATGTCCCAAGGCGGATTTAAGTTAAGAAAATGGCTTACGAATGATGGAAACGTGCGAGCGCTTATAGAGCAACGTGAATGCGGAAACAAAGTGACGACGACTACAGATTCAGACGACGAGACATTCACACAATGGAGTTTGGGGGCTCTAAATAACAATGACTGCGCAAAAGTCTTAGGTATAGGCTGGGATTGTGACAATGACCTGTTTACGTTTGATCTACGAAAGTTTGTAGAAGACTTAGGTGATAAGACGAAACTAACAAAGAGAAGCCTGCTAAGCGCATTAGCAAAGATATTTGATCCGTTGGGTTTAATTAGTGCCGTTATTATTTTGATGAAGATTTTGTTTCAACAATTGTGTGTTGATAAGGTTGATTGGGATGACAAAATAGAGGGTAAGCACGCAAAGATATACTTAGAGTGGATTGAGGATTTAGTTAGGGTTCAAAGAATTAAAATTAATAGATGCGTTTACAGTGAGGTAATCGAAAGGGTCGAGTCGTGCGAACTCCATGGATTTGGCGACGCAAGTGAGAAGGCTTATTGCGCAGTAGTGTATTTTGTTCGTCGCACAAGCTCTACCGTTCATGTAAAATTATTGGCAGCGAAAACTAGAGTTGCACCACTTAAGAAACTGACGATTCCACGTTTAGAGCTTATGTCTGCGCTTATGTTAGCTAAATTGGTAGAGTCAGTAGGGAAAGCTTTAGAAGGGCAGGTAGGAAAACTGAAGACAAGATATTGGTTAGATAGCATCACTGCTTTGTATTGGATTCAGAATAGAGGTGAATGGAAGCAGTTTGTGAGACATAGAGTGAATGAGATACTATCATTGACGAGTAAGGAAAGCTGGGGGCATTGTCCAGGGGTAGAAAATCCTGCAGACCTAGGGAGTCGCGGGGTGTTTGCGTCAAAGTTAGAAGAGGATTCAATTTGGTAGAATGGACCAAATTGGTTGAGCAGTCTAGAGCAGGAATGGCCTCAGTCTGTAGTGAGTAAGACCGAGGAGAGTGTTCAAGAAGAAAGAAAGGGGGCTGTGTTAGTAGTAGACGCTAGTGAGAAATTTGGTATAGACCAGATTATCTGTATAGATAGATACAGTAGGGTGGAAAGGTTATTTCGTGTAACAGCATGGGTTGCACGGTTTGTCAGGAATTTGATTGCTAGGATCAAAGGGAAGAATGAGGATTTGACTTTCACGGAGTTAGGGAGTCAGGAGTTACAGAAAGCAGAAAGACTTTGGATAAAGGCTTCACAGGACAGGTTAAAGAAGGAAGATAAGTTTAAGCAGTTAGAGGTACAGCTCAACGTAGTAGAAAAGGATGGGTTGTTAAAATGTCAGGGTAGGCTAGCAGAGTCAGATTTGGAAGAGGAAACAAAATTTCCTACTTTACTACCAAAGGAAGGTCGATTGACAGAATTAATAGTTGAGCACAGCCACAGGAAGGTACATCATAGTGGGGTAAGGGCTACTTTGGCTGAGATAAGGTCTAGATATTGGATTCCCCAAGGAAGACAAAGGGTAAAATCGATTCTCAACAAATGTATCGTGTGCAAGAAATTAGAGGGTAAATCATACAATAGACCTAGCGAAGCAAACCTTCCAGCATTTAGAGTGGAGCAATCAGAACCATTTTCGAAAACAGGGGTAGATTTTGCAGGACCATTATATGTGAAGAATGCACCGGGGGGCACAGATAAGGTTTATATCGCATTATTTTCATGTTGTGTAACTAGGGCCTTGCATTTAGACTTAGTCAAAGATTTGTCTGCGGATGAATTTGTGAGATGCCTAAGACGATTTGCAGCTAGGAGGGGGACCCCATCATTAATGGTGTCAGACAATGCAAAAACATTCAAAGCAACAGTCAAGACTTTAGAAAACCTCTATAAAAATGAAAGAATGCAAGGGTATTTGGGAAACAATAGGATAGAGTGGAAATTCAATCTAGAAAGAGCTCCCTGGTGGGGTGGATTTTTTGAAAGGATGGTTAGGTCAGTGAAGAGGTGCTTGAAGAAGGTACTAGGGAATGCGAGGTTGACATTTGACGAACTACTGACAGTATTGGTAGAAGTTGAGGCAACACTAAATTCTAGGCCATTGACTTACACGTACGACGAGGTGGGCAGTGAACCACTAACTCCGTCGCATTTGGTGACAGGAAGAAGGTTGTTGTCCATGCCAGACGATGTGTCTGGTGAAGAGGAGTCTGATGAGGGTTACTGTAAAAAACGGTATCAGTATTTGAGTAAGAAAAAAATACATTTCTGGAATAGGTGGCGAAAAGTGTATTTGGTTGATTTAAGAGAGTTTCATAAGCAGGACAAAGACAATACAAATAGGGTAGTGCAAAGGGGAGATGTCGTGACTGTTTATGAGGATAATGTCAAAAGGGGAAATTGGAAAACAGGTGTAATAGAGGAGTTGTTTGTAGGAAAAGATGGTGTGGTTAGAGGCGCTAAGGTTCGGTTAGCTAGGAACGGTAAAGTCGTTCACCTTAATCGTCCCGTCCAAAAACTCTTTCCTACCGAGTTGAAGCACGACGAAGGCGAGTGTGAGCGAGAAGAGAGAGAGAAAGGACTGAAAGGAAGGAAGGTAGAAAATACGGGCAGACCCAAAAGAGCTGCTGCTCTTGATTCTGTCTGGAAGACACAGAATATGCTTGATTAGTGGGACTAATCAAGGTGGGGAGTGTGTTGTAAATTGTCATGTTATGTTATGTAGAGTGTGACTGTGTCATATTTTTGATACTAAGATATAACGGATATTATGTTTATGTAAAATGTTAAGTCATATATTACTAGACAAATAGGAAAATACGTATATAGTTATTAAACTGTGGTTTCAGTGGAAATCCTGTACGTAAATTTAAAATACTTAGGAACACTTTTTCTACCTAATGTGGCATTGCGGTAGGATGTAGGTAATGACGGTACTCCATAAACGGAATGGCGTAGTGCAAGTCATGCAAACGCCCAAAAATTATATCCTAATAATTATAATATAAATATAGCTTGCAAGCGTTGGTTCGGGAGTTCGGAAAAGTTGTAGTTGTTGATGTATAAACTGGCCATACAAATTTGATGAATTAGAGTTGTATTACAGAAGGCAATAAATTTCGAAACGCAGTTGTAAGATTGACGGCTGTCCGTAATCTTAACGAGATCAAATTAAATCATTCCGTATCGCAAAGAACCAACGCTTGGAACGGAAAATCGTGCACAAAACTGTAAATATCTTATTGAAGTGTCAAAATTATATATTCAAAATACAGTCCCATCGTTAGTGTGAAGTTTTAGAGCAGTGAACCAGCACTTCGCGCAGATTTTGCGAAAAGGACTCAAACACCTTAAACGAATATGATAAGATAATCAAAGAGCAGTTAAAATCCGGAATAATAGAGAAAGTGGTTGAATTATAGAAACCAGAGTATAAATATATTATATTAATCCTAACACGGTTTTTAATATGCACATGAAAAACATGTGACATGGACGAGATTTGAACTCGCACCTTTGAGTCCGCCACTCTAACTGTTGAGCTATCAAGCTCACAGGGATTGGAGACGAGTCAAATCTCTATTAAACTGCGTATGGACGAGAGATTCTCGCCACTATAGCAGTTTACTGGATGGCACCATGTTTCGACTTTATTCCAAAGCCATCATCAGAGTATAAATTTAATATATTAATCCTATTGTTTTTCATGTGTATATTAACTACCGTGTTAGGATTATTATATTATATTTATACTCTGATGATGGCTTTGGAATAGAGAAACTAGAGAGAGTACAACATCACGCAGTAGTCAGAGAAGAAGCAAAAAGTACCAAGGTTAGAGTGGTGTACGATGCGTCTTGCAAGGAGAGTAAGAATAGTGCGTCTTTGAATGATTGTTTGCATGTCCGTCCGTCTTTGAATCCTTTTCTTTTTTGATATTTTGTTGCGCTTTAGGGAAAAGCGTGTTGCGCTTGTTGCGGATAACGAAAAGGTTTTTTTGAACGTTGAGGTCACTAAAAAAGACCGCGATGTTTTACGATTTTTGTGGGTAGGCGACGTAAATTCTTGCACTGTTAGACCAATGGCATTCCGATTTTGTCGAGTTGTATTTGGCGTGAACTGTTCTTCATTTCTTTAGAATGCGACACTTCGTTACCATTTTGATAAATTTTTTGAACGTGAGGGCGACTTTGTTCAGAAACTTAAAAATAGTTTATTTGTAGATGATCTTATTTCAGGAGATAAAACTGAAAACAATGCGATAGAACTTTATTCCAAATCGAAAAAAGTGTTGTTGAATGGAGGATTTCGATTGCGAAAATGGTTGAGTAATAGCGCGAAAGTTCGTAACATGATCGCACGGGAAGAGGGTGAGTCTGTTATAAAGTTCGTAACATGATCGCACGGGAAGAGGGTGAGTCTGTTATAAAGTTCGTAAAATGATCGCACGGGAAGAGGGTGAGTCTGTTATAAAGTTCGTAACATGATCGCACGGGAAGAGGGTGAGTCTGTTATAAAGTTCGTAAAATGATCGCACGGGAAGAGGGTGAGTCTGTTATAAAGTTCGTAAAATGATCGCACGGGAAGAGGGTGAGTCTGTTATAAAGTTCGTAAAATGATCGCACGGGAAGAGGGTGAGTCTGTTATAAAGTTCGTAACATGATCGCACGGGAAGAGAATGAGTCTGTTATAAAGTTCGTAAAATGATCGCACGGGAAGAGGGTGAGTCTGTTATAAAGTTCGTAAAATGATCGCACGGGAAGAGGGTGAGTCTGTTATAAAGTTCGTAAAATGATCGCACGGGAAGAGGGTGAGTCTGTTATAAAGTTCGTAAAATGATCGCACGGGAAGAGGGTGAGTCTGTTATAAAGTTCGTAAAATGATCGCACGGGAAGAGGGTGAGTCTGTTATAAAGTTCGTAAAATGATCGCACGGGAAGAGGGTGAGTCTGTTATAAAGTTCGTAAAATGATCGCACGGGAAGAGGGTGAGTCTGTTATAAAGTTCGTAAAATGATCGCACGTGAAGAGGGTGAGTCTGTTATAAAGTTCGTAAAATGATCGCACGGGAAGAGGGTGAGTCTGTTATAATTTCTCTTTCACAAGCCGAAGAAGACTCTTTTGCGAAGAGCACTTTTGGATCTAACAATGAGACGAAATTCGAAAGGGTCCTATGCCTTCCATGGAATTTTCATTGTGATAGTTTTCATTTTGAAATAGGCCGAATTGCAACAAAGGCAGTGGGGGTCTAGCCGACTAGGCGTAACATCTTAAGTATTTTAGCTACTCTACGATCCATTAGGAATAGTTAGTCCAATTGTGGTAACAATCAAAATTTTGATCCAGGATATTTGTAAGGAAGGGTTAGACTGGGATAGTGATATTAAACAGCAATATGTGTAATATATGGAATGCATGGGTAAAGGACTTGAACATAATACAAGTGATTTTTGTCAACAGATGTATATGGAAAAATAGATAAGCCAGTGAAATGTATGTTGCATGGGTTTTCTGATGCTAGTGTTAAAGTTCATTGTGTTGTAATTTACTTTGTCTTTGAATTGAATGGTGCCTACCATGTCGAATTGTTGACATCGAAGACTAGAGTTGCTCCAATGAAGGTACAGACGATTCCTCGTCTAGAACTTCTGTCAGCCTTGATCCTAGCAAGACTAATGTCTACTGTATTGATTGCACGAGGATCAGAAGGTCATAACTTGAGATGTAGATATTGGGTAGATAGTAAGACTGTGTTATGTTGGATTGAAAATAAAGGTGAATGGAAACAATTTGTCAGACATTGTTTTAATGAGATTCTGAAATTGAGCGACAAGCGTGCCGGCAAAGATATGAGTGTGATGAGGAAAGGAACTGTAAAAGCTTTCGAGATAAGAGAGGCAGAAAGGATGTGGTTGAAGACAGCACAAAATGAGTTTCGTCTGCAGAGAAATTACGACCAATTAGCACATGAACTTGAAATTGTAGAAAAGAATGATTTGTTGAGATGTTAGGGATGGTTGAAAAACGCTGACTTTTATTTAGAAGGTAGAGAGTCAGTAGCATTGCCTAGAGCAAATCCACTCACCACTCAGATCGTTAAGACTTGTCATGAGAGAGTTCTACATAGTGGGCTTAGAGTAACTTTGGCTCAGGTTAGAAGCAGGTTTTGGATACCAAAGGGTCGACAGGTCGTGAAGAGTATAATAGGAAAGTTCTTGAAGTATAAGAGACATGAAGGGAAAGCGTTTCCTAGTCCAGAAGTAGCAAGTTTACCACAATTTCTAGTACGCCAGGCAGTTCCGTTCGGAAATGTAGGAGTAGATTTTGCAGGACCATTGAACGGTAAGGAAAAGAAAGAAACAAGGAAAGTTTACAACGCGCTTTGGACTTGCTGTGTCACTAGGGCTGTACATTTAGGTCTAGTACAAGATTTGTCAACGAACACCTTCATCAAGTGTTTACGCAGATTTATTTCTGGTAGAGGACGTCCACGTTTGATAGTTTCGGACAACGCAAAAACATTCAAAGCTAGGTTACTTAAGAATTTACGTAACAATGAAGAAGTGCATGGATACTTAGCACATAGCCACGTAGAATGGAACTTTAATCTTAAAAATTCCCCTTGGTGGGGTGGGTTTTTTGAGCGAATGGTAAGCAGTGGCGTAGCTAGCGAAAAACATTTGGTCAGGCTCACGAGGCGCCATCATGATTGGCGCTGAGGGAGAAAATTTTCCGAATTTAGACTCCTTAGAACGTTGGAAACGGCTATCTTAGAAAGCAACTGCGTGATATTTATGCAGGAAATAGAACCATTTTGGTTAATTTAAATTGCCGAAGGATCTTATAGTAAAGCAGAGAAACAGTTCAAAAATAGTTGCAGATATGTGATTTATTTTCTCAACACCACATACATAAATAAATACCTATGTACATCTTGTAAAGAAACTTTGACAAAAGTACCGAAAAAGGCTCAGATTTGTCATCAACAACTATCAAAAGTTGTGATGCCGTTCATTGTCGAGCTGAAATTACAATCATCATTGCCTGCATTAAAAAGTTCCCGGAAAAATTCTCACATGCCATGGACGTAAGACATCATCAGCTTGCTATCAGCCATATATGAATACCTATTTGTATAAGAAAGCAAGTCTTCGTGGTTTTTCAATGAACTTCTTTACTACCTCATCATGCAATGTGTTGGCGTCTTCTTTTTCTGACAGTATGTCTTTGTGAATGGAAATCCTGCAAAGAGAACTAAAACGTCCTTGGCTCATAGTATTTCTAAGATAATTTTTTACCCTCTTCAAACAAGAAAATGACCTCTCAACTGAAGCACTTGTAATTGACAAAACCCCATTTATCTTTAACAGTTTTACAACTTCTGGAATACTAGATTGATAATGGAACTGAAAAATATATTTCAATAGTTCATCGCATAAATCACGGTGAAAGTCTTTATCTCTGTAAATAAAACAAAGTTGGCTAACTAGTATTAGTATGTCAAACATATCACCATAAACCTCCTTTGGAAGATTTATCTTTTCTGAGGGCACTTCACCTTTCCACATCTTAAACACCCCATCTAAAACGCTCCATATCCTGAAATCGCTCAGTCAGCATAGTCACAATTGTGTCAAGAATTTCAAAATACATTTGTTTGTAATTATGCCGTT